CTGTAGAAAAATAAGAAGAAACCTGTTTTATAGAAAAATAACAAGAAACTTGTTCTATAGAAAAATAAGAAGAAACCTGTTCTATAGAAAAATTAAGCTTCTTTCTTTCAACCAATCGGATACAAAATTTGATTCAGATTTATAATTTGGATGTCAGGAGAATATACAGAATTTCAATTACTAACTTATTCTGTTTTTCAGTTGGGGCATCCATATATCCACGAATAAACAGATCGAAAGACTGTCAACCCTTTCAAAAATTTGGTTCAAAATTTGATACACGTCTATGATTCTGACTTCAAAACTATACGAAGAGTTTCATTCCTCTAGCCTCCCTACTGACACAAAATATTCTACAACATTCATACGATATCTCTACGATGTTGTGAGACATTCAGAATATCGTAGCAACATCGTGAGGATATCGAAAACTTTTTTTTACTAATAAGGCTGTTGCATTTTTGAGTCATGGTGTTCATGTGTAGATGGACGGGCAGACAAACTTTTTACGGATGTCATCCAAAATTTGATATAAATCTGGAATTTTGAAGCAAATGCCACGTGACAAATTTCAATCTTTTAGATGATCGCATATTTGATTCAAGCGCAGACGGACAGAATACCACTCCATAACCTTACACCCCGTAGCTGATTCTTTCGGCAGTTGGATAGGTCTGGAGCGTCTTTTTATTTAAAAAACATTACATATATGGGAAATACTATGCTGAAAGCTCCGGTTTCCGTCTGATCACAGCAGTTAAGCAACATCGGGCGCAGTCAGTACTTTGAAGGGTGACCATCTAGGAATTTCGAGTGCTGTTGGCATCTTTTTAAATTTTGCAGCCATGGTTCCTTTAGATTTAGATGTCTGGAAGCGGAATCCCCACCTGTCTTCTAAGGGAGAAATATGGAATGTTGGAGAAGTATTTGGATGTTGACATATTCTGGAAGTTCTGTTGATGTGTGCACGTTGCGCATGGTTTGCCAGAGAAAGTGTGCTCCCCTCGACTTTAGTGTCCAAATTATTCTTGGAGTGATTGTATAGTTTGAGGAGTCTGCTCAAGGTTTATGCTTCCCAGCATCCTTCACGACTCTCCCACTTTGAAAATGGCGCTATCGTGATTTCGTAAGAGCCGTTTTCGGTGTCCATTAACACGTCTCAGCTGTAATCAACTCTTTACGGTGGCCCCTCCAGATTTATATGTCTGGAAGCAGAATCCCCCCAGAAATCCTGTCACGGTTTTTGTCTAATCACCGCAATTAAGAAGCATCGGGCGCAGACAGTACTTTGAAGGGTTACCATCTGGGAATTCCCCGTACTTTTGGCATCTTTTTAAATTTTGCAGCTGTGGTTCTGTAAGCACGATAATAGCAAAACGCAATGATATAAAGAGATGAGGCTTGATGGAACAAAGTTAGTATTTTGTTCTATCACTTGAATTTTAAAATTGTAAGAAATTTTAGATAAAATCTCCTAAACGGTTGACTGTTTGCATGTTGTCTCTTCGTGTGCGGTTGAAAGTGATAACTCGAAAACTAAATAAGCTAGAAAAAATGAAATTTGATTTGTAGTCGTGATATCAGAATCGTATGAAATTTTGATTCCAGTCGACTAAGCGAAAGTTGTGTAATTGTTTCTCGTTCCTATCCACTATTCTACAAAGCTTAACCTGAAAAACATCAAATTGTGTTAGAATACAAAAAAATAGATAAGGGAATATCGTCTCTTAACAAGCAACGCCACCAATCTCCAATTCCAAACAATAGAGATAGGTGGTCTTGATCGATAAACTACGATATGTTTTGATGCGTTTACGGAAGAAAATGCCTTCTTGAAAACTAAATTTCAAGAATTCTGTCTAAACATTTGATCTGAACAGGGGTCTCGCATAATCACGAAAAATTGCTTACTATCCCAATTATTCTTGGAATAACTGCGTAGCTTGAGAAGTCTACTCCGGGTTTATGCCTCGCGACATCCTTTGCGGCTGTCTGACTGTGCTCTGTGAATGTGCGCGATAAATTCGCAAGAGCCGATTTGGTTGCCCATTAACACATCCAGCTGTAATCACCTCTTCCTCGTGATACAGATGTCTGGGGGCAGAAACCCCACCTGTCTCCGGGAGGGAGAGAAATGAGGAATATTGCAGGATAAATTGGTTACTGTCAGTGGCGAATCCAGGGGGGGGCTTTGGGGCCCAGGCCCCCCCCCCCCCAGAGCTAAACCTGAATTCTTGATTTTATTCAAAATCGCTACAACTGTTTGTTCTAAATTTTCATTTAAAAATAATAATAAAATCGTGACAACATTACTTTCTAGCTTGATAGGCTTGAAAAGTTTCTTACTTTTCTAGTCATTCCACTTGTACTCATAAAGTTGACGCGGTCGAAAATATTTTTTTGTCTAGTTATGTCATTGTATTTTTTGTTATATTATCGAAAGTATTGTAGTGTTCTTTATGGTTTCTATTGTCAGGCAGTTACGAATCCAGAATTCGGGTCTTGGGGGGGGGGGGGGGGGGTTATGAAAATTTTGTATCGTCGTGACGAATGTCAAACCTCATGGCTTATGTAAACCAAAACACTTTAACTTTACAGACTTTATTCACCTGACAATAATATTAATAAAGAACAGTACAATACTTTCGATAATTTAATAAGAAATACAATGAAATAACTAGACAAAAAAATATTTTCGACCGCGTCAACGCTACAAGACAAGTACAAGTGGAATGACTAGAAAAGTAGAAAAAGTTTTTAACCTGTCAAGCCAGAAAGCAATGTTGTCACGTTTTCATTATTTTTGTTAAAAGGGAAATTAAGAACAAACAGTTGTAGTGATTGTGAATAAAATCAAGAATCCCGGTTTAGCTCTGGGGGCTGCAGTGCGATAGCCCCCCCCCCCATGGATTGGACACTGTTGTCTGGTGAGGAAAGTCTGTAAAGTTAAAGTATTTTGGTTTATATAAGCCATGAGATTTGACATTCAACACGACGATAAAAAATTTTTATTACCTCAGCCCCTCCCCAAGACCCGAATTCTGGATTCACCACTGGGTATTTTTATATTAGGAAATATTGATAGACACGTGTATAATCTCTCTTTCTGTACTTTGAACACGAGAGAGTAAAAATGCCTCCTAATTAATTGGGAGAAATGCTGTTTTCAGAAAAAGATTGCCTATTTTTTCTTTTTTAGGCAGATAACAGTTTAGACAGTTTTGGTTGTTACATAAGTCGCTTTTTTTAAGCCGGGAGAACGCGTATCGGGCTTGCGAGTGTTAGATTGCAATTTAGCAATAACATCCTTGCCGGCTTTACCAGTGCTATTTAAATAATTAGTATTTTCACTACTAAAATTTCTTTCATGTCTTGTTGCAACTCTTAACTTTTCAATGGATTTTTTTAAAGTTTTTTAAATTTTTCAATTAATTATTCCCTTCTTGTAATGATTAACTGAATTGTTAATTGCTTTTTACTTTTTATGCAATTTGTTTAATGGTTCGGTGTTTAATCAGTTTTAAATCCTTTTTCTTGCACCTGACTATATGTTCGTAATTTAAACGGCGGAAGCTTTTTGGTTTACTCAGGTCCGGGCGTCCCCTGACTGGGAGATTTTCTTTTGTGCCTGTTCTATTCGCTTGTCTGTTACTGCGAAAAAAGGCGGTGCGTGCGTCTGCGTGGCCTGGGGTGCCGATATTCTTATATTCGGTTCTCGTCCTTGCAGATGTACCGATGATTCTAGAAGGGAAGCTACAGCAACAGCTTTAGATGATGCAACCTCTGAAATTCACTTCATATATACTGAGACAAGGATGACTGAACAATGATGGTTTTGCCAAGCAACAGCTAATAATGAGTAAAGTTAGACGAATAACTATTACGTGTATATATAGAAGAATGAAGTAATTACTCGTAAGCATTATTGATTTTTCTCCAAATTTCAACAGTATTCCCTAAGAAGACGAATTAAATTTCGCAATAGATCTGTATGTGGAAAATGTGACTAATTGCTTTAGAGCGTTAAAGAATTCAAGAACATTGTCTAGTAACGATCGTGAAAGTTCAGCGAATGCCTAGGCCTAATTATTTGAATTTCGATCTTTCTCCATCGTGAAAATGATGGAATTGTAAGCTAGCTAGCCGATCCTAATCACTAGAGCTCACGGGGGTTATTTTTTAAAATATATAATGTCATTGTGATTTGTTTCATTTTAAACTCTATAAATTTGATAGAGAATTTTTTATGAAAGTTTCTTTGATTTTTTGGTAGCGCTATATATTTTATTTTTAGAAAGACTGCAGCAATTTTAACAATGTTATAATATGCATGTAAATTTATTTTATTAGAAGTTCTCTGATCGACATTTGCATAAACAAAATCTTGTTTGTTATTTTCTTGTATTGTTCCACATAACCAAGAATAGTTCATTGTTAAAGTTGGCAATATTTTTTTAAATTTTATAAATAAAAGTTTAATTAGTCAAGAACTCGAATCTCTTGCCTTCCTTTTTCAGTGCAAAATATACTCTTTTCTAGGATTTTCTTCCACTATGGTCAAATGTTCCAGACAGTATTGAAAAGGTGGGCAATAATAAGAGTGTAAAAAGATTGTACTAATCCCACATAGCATAGTTCTTTTGACTCATTTGCGACTCATCCCAAACTAATAGCGAGGCAAGGTTTCAGCAAGAATTATTACAGAAAATTAACCCACTGAACAAAATAATTCCAGATGCACAGTAGTTATATCCAAGGTCATTTACTTGTTGACCACAAGCATTTAAGAATTTACTTTCATTTGTTATCTCAGAAAACAGACGATCGGGATTCGGCCCGATGCGCGCTTTCGCGTTTCTGTGTAGGATTGCTAAAGAAAACAGATAGATCGCGACAATTTATATCTATTAGAATTACAAATATGAGTTGTAAAGATTAGAATAGCTTTTAGCTGAAAATCAACTAATTAAGTATCGATTAACGAAGAAGGTAAAGGAATTGGTTGTTGCTGAATTAGAGATCATAAGTCGAATTCTGAAAAGGAATTAGACAGTGAATGGAATATTTGTGAGTCCACCGATTATTTAGAAGAAGGCTGGAGTTAGCAGACTGTAAGATAGGTGGAATTAAAAAATGGTGTGAAAAAGAACGTCGTAAAAATATTAAAAGTTTTACACACCACATCGTCATACAACTACCCGAAAACTTTGGTGAAGTAAAAAATGTATAATCAGTTGAAAAGTCTTGCAAATGCTTATCACTGAGACAGATGATGCATTATCACTTATATCCAGGCGAATTCAGGTAATTTTGGACTGGAAACCCAATCGTTTCATTAATAGCTTGGAAGTTCGATCTTCTTCAATTTAATGCGCTCCCTAGAAGATATTTATCTGAAAATTATTTTATTAATATTGCATATTATGTGCTCTAGTGCAACAAAGGTTTCCTATTAAGCAAATGTAATTTTCTGCACGTTTTGCTAGAAAAACAGTACCCAGGGCCTACGAAGTTCGACTCGCGGCCTCAAGTAAATGTAAGTTACGCGCGTATTCGCGGGTTATGCTGCAAGAACTTTATAGTGGTTGAGAGCTGTCATTTTGAACTGAGGTCGTGCAGTGCGACTTTGAATTCCGTATCAGTAGAATACCGATTCGAAACCTGATTTCTTGAAATATCCACCGTGCGTGTGGGCCTAGTACAATGTAGATAAATTCAAAGACAAATGTCTTTACATTATTGTGTCGAGTCAATTTGGAGAATAGAGTGTCTGCTAACGTTTCGTCCATGTTTAAACTGTCAAAACAGACTACACTTTAAA